TCAGCATCGCCTTAAGAAAATTAGGACTAAAAAGCCAATTCAAGATCAAATAATAGAAACACAATTTAATATTATAAAGACATTCCACATTCAAAGAATATTAATAAGTTTGGTGTGAAATAAATCGTAAAATGAAACAAGGAAATACGAATAGAGGAACCAAAATTCAATACGGAAGACTAGTGAAAGTAAGTTGAAAAAGGAAGATATATTCACAAATGTGCACAAAGCAAGGAGGAAAGTGAACCAATACAGGCTAAAACACTATTGCACGACAATCAATTCAAAAGCTGAAGGGATTGAAACAACAGTGTCTCAGAGCGACATCACATCCCGCCCATGAACGCCTTATGGCTGATAAAGTTATCGATAGGGATAGGAAAAAGTATTTACATGAAGAATCATTTAGGTCTCATAAAGATGATGGGACCTGGGAGTCAGATACTAGGAAAGTGAGCGTACTGCCGAATATAATCGCACGAAGTAGGAAGGCTAATGTACATTGCTGATGAACCAAAAGGACAATCATTTAACTGTACAGAAAGAGGAGATATAAACAGAGGCAAAATCCAGACCAAGCCAGAATGATTGAGATAGACATCTCACAAATCAGTTAAAAGATAACCATACAAAATGTACGGAAATCAAGATAGACGGATGACGATCTAGTGAATAGTCAATAAGAGTTGCTAAAGGGGCTCACTGGGAAACAACAGCGGACGAGTCTAGACCAGATTGAGCAACTGCAGCACTCTGGACAATTGCGATTTGCTGAAATAAAGAGGTAAATGATATGAATTTAATTGACAGGCAAGTCTCTACACGAAAATAAAGCTAACCTGAGTGGAAATCGGTACTATAATAGTAGCACCAGCAGGCGCATTAATGGTGGCTGGCTGAATCTTTATGTCTTCACCTAAGGTAATTTGCTGAGGATGACCATCAGCATCCAAAATTCCGCCATTAATTATAGATGCGTTTGAAGCAGCAGCAGCAGCTGCTGCCGCCGACCGAGTGACGATCGTTGTAGTGGGGGCCCCGTTAGAAATGCCAGCAGCGGCAGCTGCCGCAGCTGACATTAGTGCTGGAGAGACAAGTAATGTAGTGACGTTGTTAGCCTGCGTAATAATTTGCGCAGGTTGGGCGACTTGTTGAACGTGAGATTGCTGAATAGTCGCTTCTTCAACAGCACCCGACTCTAGTTTGCTAAGCTTTTTAAAAAAATCAGGACATTTAAAGCGGGGAAGTACATGATATTTAAACACTCTCATGGCATACCTCACGGAATTTAACAAGAAAAGCCTTGAGGGGCTCCACATAATTGTCAAATCCAAGATGGTTCATTGCACATAAAATGTCTTCGCCATTAATCGTCTTCCTTTTTTCATTCTGACACCGTTCTGCAGCCCTTAAAAGTATAAGGTTATAAAGGACTCACTCGCTAGTTATAAAACTGATGAATTCAGATACGCACTCTTGTACACATTCTTTGGCATCTTTGGCAATCTCATATAAAAAATTAAGAATAAGCAAACCTTTCCATTGGATGGAAGAGACCGTTTCATTATCTTTGAAATGTTGGCGATGGGCAAAAAGCGGTCCTGCTCACGAAGAGGAGAACGTTGTTCCACATCCCCACCTTGGTATTCAGAATCATCTTGTAGGGTATCATCCATGCCTTCATAATACGATTGTTCCTGAAAACTAGAACCGTCACCCTGACTATCGGCATTAGAGTCCATTTCGGGGTGGATAAATAAAAAAATGAGAGGAACAAGTTCAAATGTTTCAGAGACGCCGATATTTCGCACCCAGTTAAACTAACTAAAACATTTTACAAAATAAATAATTTATTTTTAATAAATTTAATAAATAAAACTTAATAGTGTTAAAAGCAAAACATTTGTAGTATAATTAGAGGCAATATTTTGATTAATAAATCAGCTCCTCGTTATCGCGAGCATTTGGAAAATTGTATCTTCGTGCATTTAGTTAATTGAGCTATGAATTCATTTATTTAAAATGAATTACATAAGTTCTTCGATTGAATCAAATGTTAAGAATGTGAAAACTCATGACCTGATTAATATTAATACATACTCAAACAAGCACAAATTTAATATCACTTCCGGACTTCAAGATAATATCATAAGCAATCCTCAATGTCTATATTTACAAGGAAAAGAAAGTGATACAAATACGAGTATTCATGCCGATAAATTAACTCTCTTTTCACATAAAACCAACATACTGCCCGATAAAAAAACAACATTTTCAAAAAAAACTCCACTTTGTGACGTCAAAAGATCAAATGATTCTTCATCACAGAATCTTTTGTTTCAAGAAGCACTAGATTCGTCTTTATTTTCGATGAAAACTTTAAATGCTCCATCTACCTACTCAGATAATACATCTGAACCAGACATTAGGAAGTTAAACTCTCTTGCGACATTATCTTCATCTCCTTCTGGTGTTATACCCTTCATAAATGATCCTTCATTATTTAATAAAGGCAAAACAATTGATTTATTGAAGGAATACGTAAAAAGTTTGAATGAATTTTCAACACTAGTATCATCACGATCCAGTCATAAAAACTCTTATAATACATTTACTTCACCTGCAATTTCCTCAGAAATTTTATATAAAAAGAATGTTATTAATGAATTAAATAATTTTAATGACGATCTAATCAATTCAACAATTTTTATTAAAGACGGTAATTGCTTAGGAAAATGTTATAACTAGATAGGAAGACAAATAGGATAAATCTATAATCTAAATTTAAAGTAATAATTGTGTTTTTATTTTGCAATTTAACTGAAATACATATTTGAACTTCTTTATTTAGGATGTACATCTCTTCGGAACGACTTGGCTGATATATCCTCCTCAGAAGGGTTAACTTTTCCCGCCAATCAGTTATACGATGAACATAACATAAATGGGTAGGTTTTATTATAAAATATTTTTCCATATAATACTCAGTTGCCCATCATTTAAAATGTATGGTTTCTTAATAATTAAATCCAACCATAAACATTCATCTAACATAATAATTATATCCCTTCAAGCTTTCTTGCTATATAAGTTATTTCTTTTACTAGACTAAAGCCTCACAACAATTGCCTTCAAAATTAAATCCATAATATCACATATAAAACATTTTTACATAGCCTATTAAATTAGATTTATCTGGATCATGATGTCCTAAGCTCTACTACGAAATATAGTGTCCCAAAATATTTGAATGTATAAGTTTATAACGGCTAAATTTTATCGAATAGAAGTATTTACTGGTGAATAAAGCTATAAGGAATCA